CCCATTGAGACACTTGCGTTAACTGAAAATCCAAGTTCGAAGTGTGTGCGTGTCCACCCCTGGAAAAAGGGTTCTCAACCAACTTCGGCAGGGGGATCAGGCTTCCAGCGACTAACCTGATCCAACGAAGCTGGGTCGCTGGAAGGGAAGTGGTTGAGGACGCTCAACCATGTACCTGCGAAGTTTTCCACAAGCTGTTACTCCACTCTTCCACGGTTTGTTTCATAGTTCTTCATGATACCTCCCACAAACCCACCGCCACCTTGCGCCGCTTTGCAGCCGACTTTGCGTGTCAGATCGTTTTTGAGTGCAGCTACCAACATTGTTCAACAATACGGTTTCTGCGGACTCATGCACCTTGCCGTTCCTTCACCTTCCTTCTCAACGTGGGAACTGAGTTCACTGAATACAAGTGTCAGAGTGTGTTTCGCTCAGCCGTCCCACTCGGGTGCTGGGTGTGATCCCCGTCACAGGGGCGCTGTTTTTTGCATCGGAATTCAACCACCCCAACGTACCACTTTTCACTGGACCTTCACCGGAAGTCACGGCCACCCCCATAGAATCAACTGATGCATTGGCCGCCGGGCCCAAAAACGGCATTGCTTCGACAGCCGCCGGGCTATAAAACGGTGCTCACCCCCCATGAGGCAGGTTCCCCAAACCCCCCCCCCCGCTGTGTTCTACTCCCTACCTATTTAGGGCAACATAGGGAAATGGTACTCGACGCACTTGTGTGTCGGTGCCTTTCCCTGTGTTGTTCCTGTTCTAGTCTTTCCTACCCGGGCGGTCTAAGACTAAAGTCCCGCTCCCTAACTAGTGCACCTAATTCACTTCGTCTAAGTATTCAGTAATTCTAGAGTGCTAGGTAGTCAAACACACACACGTACACACACATGGACATACACCCCCTCCCTGCCCCCCGCTTTCCTTCTTGCGTTTTTTGTCGTTTGTTGGGCTTTCTCTCAGGCTTTTTAGGTTGTTCTTGAGGCTCGTTTCCCTAACCCAGTCAAGGGCTAAGTATTCATTTTTCATTTTTTCTACGCCTATCTTTCTCTCTTGCCCTCTTAGCGCTGCTCTTTCTGCGTTTCTTTCCTTTTGTTTCTCAGGCTTTTTAGGTATCTATTCAGGCTTTCCACGCACGCGCCGCCAAGCGGCACCGTGTCTGTGCCACCGTTCTTTGAAAAAGCGCCGAAGCCGGCGATTTGTGTGTGTCCACCCCTGGAAAAAGGGTTCTCAACCAACTTCGGCAGGGGGATCAGGCTTCCAGCGACTAACCTGATCCAACGAAGCTGGGTCGCTGGAAGGGAAGTGGTTGAGGACGCTCAACCATGTACCTGCGAAGTTTTCCACAAGCTGTTACTCCACTCTTCCACGGTTTGTTTCATAGTTCTTCATGATACCTCCCACAAACCCACCGCCACCTTGCACCGCTTTGCAGCCGACTTTGCGTGTCAGATCGTTTTTGAGTGCAGCTACCAACATTGTTCAACAATACGGTTTTTGCGGACTCATGCACCTTGCCGTTCCTTCACCTTCCTTCTCAACGTGGGAACTGAGTTCACTGAATACAAGTGTCAGAGTGTGTGCGCGTGTGCGAAACACAAACTCAAAATCCGACGGCTTAATTTAGGCTGGAGGCTATCCCAAATCCGCCGCACAACTTTCTGAGGGAGATCGCTCGCGTAAAGGGACAAGAACCTGACTTGGACCCGAGACCACATCATCCAATGGAATACAGGAACCTAAGGAAGCTAAGCACAAAATGCCCTGGATATGGGTGACAGAAGCCGGGAAACCATTGGATTGCATAGTACTCTGAATTGACTCCATGTATGGCTAAGGCGTTGTGAACCTTTGGCAGGAAGCCCTCGACAATGCGATCGAATTGCCAAATGATGACCTGAATTCCAGCAAGCTAATTGCTGCAAGTGCCTTGAGAAACGCACATTCTTTTTCTCAGCCCAAGTGGCACCAAGCTTTGGAAAGTTTGGGCGGTACAGGTCCTTACTTGGACCAACCCAATCTGAAGGGCAAGTCGTCTAGAAACTAGATAAAACAATGATAAAGCTAAACATGATAAGACCAGCTGCAGGACAAGAAAGGGAAAGCATCAAAGCAAACTGCATGCTATCGTGGTTTGCTGCTGAAAATGGTGGCTCTCCCTCTTAAGTTTATTCGAGCTACCACGAGTGAATGCCGGAGAAGCAATGCCAGCGAGCAGTTGAAAACCACTGCTTCGTCGTCTGGAAAAACCTGGGGACAAAAGGTCAGCAAGCTACGGAACTTACGCAAAGTAATTACAAAGGCTGAATGAGAAAGGAAGAAGCTAGTAAGAAGGCAAAAAGAGAAGCGAGGAAGGTCTAAGGAGTCCAAGGCCTAACGCGAAAATACCCCCAGAAATGACTGACTATCAGCGTTCGCCAGAAACACTTGGATGCTGACCCCTATCAGCGTTGCCACAATGAAGTTCAGGCTTTGGCCTCAAAAGTTGGACGATTCCGACCGCAATCGAGCGCAAACCCTCACAGGCTTCCTACATAGGACAAAAAATAAGGCTTTGACAGTAACCCACATCCTCCAAGCGAATGGCCAATGCCCGCAGTAGCCTACAATTTCACCAGAAACCTTACGCTTCTTGAGGTTTCTTGCCATTGTACTTCCATCTTCGCACTGGCTGCGGCAAAGTTTTAGCTTGTTTGTTCAGAGCGCATTTTTGCGCGCAGGTTCCCGTTGTCGCCTGAAAAGGGCAAGTTGGCCTTTGCCCTGTCGCTCCCGGAAGAGCTCTTCTTGGGGAAGCGTGCGATGGACATCACGCCTGAAACGAGCAAGCGAACAAGCAAAGAGAATCGTTTCCGTCGTCTCCCCCAGTCCTGATAGCAGAGTCAAATGAGGACGTCTGGTCACAAAGCTTTGCCTGAGGACAAATAACCAAATGCCACATACAAAATGCAGGACATCCAACAAACAAAGCAAAATTGCGCTGAAGAGTGTAGGCGGGTGACATAATCGTCCTGAGGTGTGCCGGCACGCTGTTGGAGCGTTATGCCCCCAAGGAGCAACTCCTGAATTACGCTGCACAAAATCAAAACGATGGAAGCAGTATGACGAGAAAGGACCAAGCTGGTTGCTCCAGTATGTATGACGATTGTGACTTCCTGCCTTCCAAGCTTGCCCTCTGTGAGCTTCACCCAAGTCTTCGGCCCATAGCGCCTAAAGGCATTCAACGATTGCAACTACAGCTGCCAGCTACCAGCGCATGTGGCACCAGCTCAACTTCTGGCAGCCTCCATGATGGGCTGCGAGAGACCTCCTGGCCTCAGATCCCGAACTTTCATGAGCTGAGAATAGTTTCGGCTGAGAATGGCAGAGAGCTTGGCAATCCATCGCGCAGTTCATCACAGGCATCTCGACCCGCCAAAGACAACCTGTCACTCTTCAGATCTCTTCAGTCCAGCATGGTTTTGCTTTCAGCATTGTGTCAAATTATGTCTTTATAATATGCATCTCCGTCGTTTGGCATTCATTTCTTCTTGAACCCAACGATGCTTCAACTGCCTACCCTCCACACCCACCGCAGACCGGCGCCTTCTCCAAAAAGAGCAAACCGTCCGGCATCGTCGGGCCTGGACCACGCCGGACGCCGACGGACGCCGACGGACGGACGCGGACGCCGCCTCCGCGAGGCTCAAGTGCGTCGGAAGACCCACTCGGAAGAGGGTGAACCATTCCATGTCCGGACCTGAGGAACGAATGAACAGGAGTCACAAAGAAAGAACTATAGATATATATATATAATTATTACATATATATATATATAACTCAAGGTCTAGAGCCTAAAGTTTACTGCAAGAACTATACCGGCATAGACCCCAGATAGCACTTCAAGAAAAGTTGGACATCCCACTGAAAGCCGGGAAAAGGATGGAAAAGGTAAACAATACCTAAATCATCTTATAACAGCATCCGCGTCAAAGGCAGGCAAGAAAATGACAAGGCGGCAGCGGCAGCCAAGAGCGAAATCAGGAACAGAGACAAGCTTGGGAAACACGGCGGCAGCGGCAGCCAAGAGCGAAATCATGAAAGGAAACAAGCTTGGGAGACCAGGCGGCAGCGGCAGCCAAGAGCGCAGTCATGAAGGGAGACAAGCTTGAGAAACAAGACGGCAGCGGCAGCCAAGAGCGAAATCATGAAGGGAGACAAGCTTGGGAGACAAGCCGGCAGCGGCAGCCAAAAGTGAAATCATGAAGGGAGACAAGCTTGGGAGACAAGCAGGCAGCGGCAGCCAAAAGCGAAATCATGAAGGGAGACAAGCTTGGGAAACAAGGCAGCGGCAGCCAATTTCCGCAATCCGGAACCCATCCATTGAGAAGTAAGAACCCCTATAGCTTCCAGCTATCTGGGGAAAAATGAAGGACTGGAATTCCCATCAATATCCGGAAGAACAAGGATGCGAAACAAATGGCCTTCATCCTCGGTTGGATTCCCAGCACTCGGGGAGACATCCATCCTTGTGTTGCCAGCTACTCAGCTGCGTGGGACCTGTTCAGCTGAATATAGTATACTTGGAAGTATCAATCCATATTGTGTCATATTGTGCCGTAGTCAAGACCATGTAAAGCCGGTCTTCAAGACATTACAGGTAAGAAATTGCTCCAACATGTGTGGACTAAATGTGGTTGACAAGTAAGTTGCCATATTAAAGCCATTGAAGAGATGCTATGCTATGACATGGCGTGACATTGTATTGTGAAACAAAGCTTGGGCCAAAAACATATAAATCCGTTGTGACCGGACCATACACGATGGACCTTCGGGGCCACTCAGTGATACCCGCAAGCTGAAGCAATCTGAAGCGATACCCGCACCGCTCCTCCTCTCGGTGTACAGGATCACCATCCTGGAGTCGCACAAGCGGCAAACTGGAGGGAATCAGAACAGCTCAACAGGAGTCATGCATCTGATCGATTCTTTTTCGTCGATTTCACAGATGCTCGATTGACACTCAGGTCCCTGTCACTTTATCATGGTTTATCTCCTAGGCAAACGTATTACAAGATATTGCAAGGTTTCTAACATGCTGACTTGACAAAGCATCGCCTTGGGCTGCGGCTGCGGGCTCGGTTGATGCCACCTGAGCCCAAGAATGTGTTTACTTTCTGCTCGGATTCTGACACTGGCCTGCCATCTCCGAGACCTTACTCAGGCCAAAGCTGTGGCCCATCACTGCTTGAACTGGCACAGCTCCAACCCATCACAAATAACATATTCTGATCAAGAAAAACTGCAACAAAATACATCCAAATACTGTAACAATGCATTAATGGTGATGAATATGGTACTAATGTACTGTAATTATATATAATGCCCGTGCTTTACACCATAAGTCGAGTCCCTGCCGAATAGCTGTTAGGATGAAAACAGGTGACTTGGGGCTGGGAAACCATTGATTAGTAGAAAAATGCAACAAAGAGATGAAAAACAAAGAAAGAAATAAAGAAAGAAAGAAAAAAAGAAAGAAAGAAAGAAAGAAAGGAAGAAAACACATAAAGAAACACACAATTGTTTTTGTGGTTTACTTTCTCTCTATCCGACTTTGGAAGTTGCATTTCTGCTGCTTTTGCGTTTCTTGATGTCGCATCGCTGCGACAATACGCAGGTCAGGATGTTTGCCTCCTCGGATCTAGTCTGGAGCGCGAGTGCCGCCAGGGCAGCTCGGCTCCTTCGAGAAACATGAACGAAAGTGAGTTCCAGGCTTCCAAGTACTTAATCTGCTCAATCTCTGACTGCGAACTCCCAGATCAAATGTGCTATTTGCTTCCGAACCCTTGATACTTGATACAACAAACCCACAGCACTTGATATAAAAATCCAAGCCAAATCTCCATGGATCTCCGCTTCAATTCAATCACTCCAACTTTTCCGGAGACTGGGCTCATTTTCCCGTGATCAAATCAGAGAAACTCTAATCCTTCAAACTTCTGGTCTTTGACATGAAGGAATGGTGGTTCCATGAGCATCTTCCCCTGAAGGTCGAAGACGCAAATCTTCGTGGCCGTTCGGGAGCCAACTTCCAGGACTTTCAAGGCCGCATACGTGTCATTGGTGCCGGGCACTTTCCGCAGAGCCGCGAAGCCCCAGTCCGGCTCCAAGGGTCCCACGGAGAGCGCTTCGATCGTGGAGAAGTTCTCATCAGCCAACAACAGAACGTTGGTCCCACGAGTCTCATCGGCTGTTGGACTGTAGCTTTCGAGACTGGCTTTTCGAGGCAATACGATCCAACGTTGAAGCCATGCGTCCCAAATGATCGCTTCATGCCACAAATACCCAGGACTCTGAACCCCAAGGCTTTGCCGCATTGTCTCATAGATGCCTCGCCAGTCAAAGCTTTCAACGTGCCATTTGCTGTCAATTTGCTTCACCCACTGCGGATTGTAGTGCTGAATCTCACCATCATCACCAACCCATTCGCGGCCCATGCTGCCGACTATGAGGAAGCCATCCTGAAAGCGCAAGAAAATCTACGCAGTCACGGCACAAACCAATGTAACCAATGAAACAGACCGACCTGTACAGTTCTTCTATTTTTTCGGATCAAAAAATTCAGGTGTGTGAGGTGTCCTTCACTGTCGCCCATTCTGACTTGAATGGCTTGATGGATCTTCCGTTGCCATCTGAAAGGATAAGCCTCTGAATAGCAAAGCCTTCATCTGGATAAATTTCAAAGACGACACCAGTTATATCACCTTATCTCCGCAAAAGCCACAGCAACAAGCAGCAGTTACACAAAACAACACCAAAAATCACCAGAACCCGGCAGGCCACACGAGGCCGTCTCTACGCATCCGCCGCCTCAATCCACCTGCTGGTTTGTGCTTGCCAAGTTGCAGAAAGCAAAAAGGCGCCCTTCAAAGCGCACCAATTCGCTGAGCTCCATGCTTCGGTTCTTCACGGATAGAGTGCTCTCAAGTCGCTTGGTGTCCAACCATTCCAATCTGTACTGGCCCGTCTGCGCATCAAATAGAAGAGCACCTGCATGATAGATACAAAAACAACTCAAATATACTCAAATACACTCAGGTCGCTTCACACAACGTGCTTTGGTCACCAGCAATTGTTGTGAGGAGCGTAACACGCTAAAGTTTTTTCCAGCAATGGTAAACAAAGTGTCGAACCTCGGAGGAACCAAGCGTGCCATTTGAACTGCTCCAAGTCCCTGGATGCTTTGTCCAAGTCTGAGACAATGGCAAACTCAAACCTTGGTCAAATTTCCAAAACTCTCACCGAATTTGGTTCATACAACCTCCGTCCATCCGCATAGTTCCCCCCGTCGTGCAACCTGCTTGTGAACAGACCACCGAGCACATCGTCATATGTCTAGACTCTGCTAGAAGGCTGCGGACTCCCAGCCTACTTCGCATTTTGTGAGGAGTGATATTGGAGGAGAAGAGCTAAAAGAACCAGAACCAAGGAGGAGGAGGAGGAGGAGGAGGCGGCGGAGGAGACGGAGCAGGAGGAGCAGCAGCAGTGTTGGGCCATCCATTAAGTGCGTTTGAGGGGCCTCGTGTGCCCAATCTCTTGGATGATATCAGTTGCCTGGCAGTTGCACAGCTCTTGAAACACTTGGCTTACAATGGCTTACACACGGCTTTCACTGCAATCATACGCAAACATGGGGACGCTACTAGGGGCTCCTGGCCTTACTACTAGTAACCAGAAGCTATTAGAAACAAGAATTAGAATTGGAATAATTCAATTAGAAGGTTTCTTTCCGGTTTGCTCCGTACCTCGCAGTTTTCAGAGCAGCTTTCGGGCTGCTCCGCTTCTGCGAAGAAGATCAGCGTGAGGGCAAAGCATGCAGCTCTGCAGAATGCCATGAGAAGTCTGTGCGTTCACAACAAGATTTGTCCGCAAACCTACTGTATGCCGTGAGTGTTTGCAATTTGGCAGGGAGGCTGTGGAAGGATCGGGCTGTCTGCCTCTTCAGTTGCTGGTCCAACTCTGTGCCAACCCTATTTGGAAGTTGACCGTCGGTGACCGCAAGCCTGCACCTATTTGAAGATTAAGCGAACATGCTTGTCCGAGTCCAGACCTATTATATCATGCCTTTGAATATTTAATTATATATAATATATTCAAATAAGTGGTGATAGTGTTTGTCATTGTTTGTCCATGCGGCTTCGCTTGTATCAAAATTTGTTCACCGTCGACTTTCAGCCAAACTCAGCTTCAATCAGCTGCACTTGCATGTTCTGCTCCAATGGCCACACTCAAATCATGTAATTCATCGGGGTGCTGCGCTCATGCTAAAGGCTCTGTCCTTCGTGGCATGGCGATCGCACAGGGCCTTACCACGATCCAGGCTGGCTTGCGTAGCTGTTCAACAAACACACTGCAAACAAGTGGCTCTGAAGCCGGACCTCAGTGCTCAAAGCAATTGAAACCGTCACGGGAGCAGAACGCCACAAGGACAAACAGCATAAAGGGGGGGCACCGAATCCACAAGAGGAGCACCAGGCGGCTCAAGTCCCTGTCACGGCAGGTGTCAAGCCCATTCTGTTGCCAACATTTCAGAGGTCAAAGTACCGTGACTGAGAACTACCATGTTCTTCTGTCAAAAAGATTCTAGGTCGAAGTCCAGGTTCCTAGTCACGTAAATAGTCCGTAAGGCACTCTCGCTGTCCTCTCTTGCCTGCACGACCACATCACTGCCGGCAATGATGTGACTACTCCGGCTAGACCTTGGTGGTGACAAGTTGCACTGATGAGCCTTGGCTTTGTCACTTCCATGTGCTTGTGCAGCTGTTCCGAACAAGCCCTGAGCAATGTTCTGACCTGTTCACACTCCAATGACAAGGATGCATGCAGCGTGGTCTTTGTTTTCTGCAAGCCCCGCAAGCAGCCACCCGTAAAGGGCGGGCAAAGTCTAAAGTTCCTGTGCTCAGTTCCGAGAGCGAGCAAGAAATCAAGGTCAAGCACCCATCGTGCTCAAAATAGGCCAAGAATTGCACCGCTGCCAAATTGCAGCGCCTGTGGCGCTGTCCGAATTTGCAATTTACTGGATAGAGATCGAATTTCTGTACTGCATGTTTTTTCTGCGCTGTCTTGTTAGGCCAACTGTACACTGTCCAGATGCCCCGGAAGCAAAATTGTTCACAATTGTGTAATGTACAGCTCCCCAAGGTTGCACTTCTAAACGGCGCAAGCCCAAGTCTGTGGTGGCTATAAAAGCACCAGCCTCATGTGCTGATTTGCAAGTGCGCAGCAACCCTGCACAGGTCTGACTGTCCTGCCATCATCCGACTTGTCTTCCCTCATGCTCCCCTTGGGGCACAATCTCCAAGGTACTTGCCCGCTCTGAGCATTGCTTGGCCTGAGCACAAACAAGCGTATCTCTACATTGACATGAAACCTCATCATCACTACTCTCTGTGCCGCTGCTGCAACAAACAACTCCAGTCCTCCGTGAATCTGGGGCACCCACTCTCTGTTCAAAGTCTCGAGCCCAAGCTATGATCACAACGTTCTGTGAAAACGGTGCAAATACCAAGAGCCTTCCAGGCGCAGGCATTTCAAAAGCCCTACACTATTCTAAGGAAGATCCATGCTCAGCGTGAGCCTACAAGGAAAGGCGACAAAATGCCACCATTGCCCAAGCTGCACTGTTCAAGCAGCCTCACAGTAGCCGGCAGCTGCTGTTCAAGCTGCAAATCTACAGATCACATGCTAGCTCGCGAAAGTTTTCAGCCGCAGCTCGAGACATGCCAAGCTTCCTGAGACAAAGTTTGATGCTGCTTGATGATACGTGAAGAGCATATATAATGTATATAGCTGCAGCTCTGCAAACACGCTTCTTTCCCGCAAATTGGTAGTGTGGCATCTGGCAATGAAAACTTGTCCAACACCTCTCTATCAATTCTGCCTAACCAGTCGCCAAACAAACAAAGGGAGGGTGGGATAGGCGTGGGAGTCCAATCTTTTTGCCATCACGTGGGCGACGATCGGCCCAACTCAAACCCTTGCAACCAAATGTGCAACTATCAATCCGCGACAAAGGAAAACCCTCGACGGATCCAGGAACATGAACCTTACCAGAATGGATGCTACCAAGGGACAAGTTCACTGCATCAAAGGTCCTTGCCACTTCAGGGTCGGCAAGGTATGGTATGCAGCTTCGAACCATGTCACGAACACCATTCTTGTCTCCCGAAAAGCCATAGCTTTTCAGAGTCGGCTGCTGAAAGGGAAGGGCAAGTTCTGCCCTGCCAGGCAAGTGGTAATAGCCTCGTGGATCTTCTACTCGTCCAGCATTGAAGTTGGCTCTGACTTTGAGCTTGCGGATTTCCTCTTGAAATGAAGGGCCACTGAAAGCAATGATCAAGTTGTGGAGCATATCCATGACTGTGACCCTGGAACCAGGCTTCCGGCCAAAGCCTATGCATTCGGTAGGGTCCTTCTTTGAGTCAGGCAGCTTCATAGCACTGAAAAGTGCCTCGTTGATGGCCGCAGCATTCACGTAAATGTCTGGGTCATTTTCGAACGCTACAAAAGCACGCTGCATGTCGTGAACGCCTTGGCTGGATGCTTCGAAGCCATATGCTGGTATGATTTCGGCTTGGAAAGACCGCACCAAGTTCTTGAAGTCCTTCCAGCTTTCAGGATCATTACCCTGAGAGGCTCTGTATCTTCTGGCAATCACATGTAGCCTCTTCTGAAACCCTGGAGATGCAAATGCTTGGAGAAGGCAGTGCTGCAAGTCAAGCGCACTCTCCTTGGATAGGCCACTTAGAGCAAAATCGTCTCCAAAGTCTTCCGACTTCCCACTTGATAGTGGGGAGCGTGGTTCTTCCGTGTCCAGGGATTCACAGCGCTCAAAACACAACTTGACCTTGTTGCACCTGGACAGTGACTCGGATGATTCTGCAACTTCTTCGACTGCATCTATTGCATCACCCTCGGTGACGATGTGGGCAGGCCTGCAACTCTTTGGGCCCTGCGGGCATTCGCAATCACTCGCACAATTCATCATGGCTGCAAAGCTCCCACTATCACAACTGTAAGCCAAAAAAGCTAGGCTCAGAAACACACACTACAGCCACTTCATACTCTCCACCAACTTCCCCTGCAATTTCTCAAAAATCTGGACCTGACCTTTCTCATGCCTCACTCACAGTCTTCATGTCGCATTGTTTTCAACGCTGGCACGGTCCATCTTATATCTTATGATATCTTCTTATGTATATTAACTCATGTAACTTATCCGCGGCGCGTGACCTGCCCTTTTTATCTGCACGACATGTCCAGGCGCTGCCCTATTACTTCAGCCCTTTGCCACCACGTGGAGGAACCTGGCCTTGTTTCATGCACAAGCCACGGCCGTTGAAAAGGTTCCAACGCCCCAAACGGTAGCATCTGCCAAGTGGCTTTGAGAAGTGGTATTTGTACATCTGCGCTGAGATTCTTGAAAGCTTCCCCAGCTTCGTGTGGATGCTGCTGTTGTACTCCACTGCTTGCCAGGCCACATCATTCTTCTGACCTGGCTTTACCGGAAAAAAAGACTGCGAAGCTTGTCGGCAGGTGGTTTGCTGGCAACGGTCTCGGTCAGTCCAAGCAGCAAAGAAGTTCCATGAAGCTGACCAGCCAGGAAGGGTCTGCGCCTTGCTTGTAGCGCCCTCTTGTGCACGTACATAAAATAATACACCATAGAGAAGCATATAAAGCCACATAAGCCACCCTTCTGATTCAATCCAAAGACTACATAAGCTAGCGGCCAAAAAACACAAACCAGAGTTCAGTAAGGCAACACATGATGAACACGATAGAACTCGTGCGTGACATAGCCAGGCCACCAAGTCCAAGGAACCACCACTGCCATGCAAATCTTCGGTGGAGGGGGCTGGTCTGCAAAGGCATGCGGTTCACTCGACCTCAGGCTCTCTCCCTGTGGTGGTTGCACCGCTGTGATTTCATGCGGCTCTGCCATCCTGAGTGCCGCACCCACTTTGTAAGGTATGTCCACTTCAACATAGCCTGCCATGCCCCAAACCACAAAGGACAGGATTGCATAATATTATTACTGTAACATAGTCCATGAAAATGGCTATGCGGTCAAGAATCCCTCACCCACATCAGCCCAAAGCACCATCCTAGGTTTCGAAAGTGCTGAAGTGATTACGGGAGGTCACCGATTAATTAAATCAAGCCAAGGACCCTTTGCAGACTCATTGCAAACAAGTGTCTCATTGCGCTCGTGAACAGCACCCGCAAAATATGCATGATGGTTGTAAGGGATTCCCAGATTAAAGAATTCTGCTTGGCGGACAAACCCGGACTGCATGAGGGGCTCAACAAAGCCAAGTCTTTCACGTCCTGACCACAGCCAGGCCTGAGAATGCAGTTTTCCCAGGAATATACAAACATCTATATATACATATGACTATACTATAAATAAATATATATATATATATCATATACAGCTACACACACACATATATATATATACACAATATACACATATGATGTATCTTTCAGTTGAGGCGTCCGTGCGCACAGCCACCAGCCTAGGCTATACCTACCTGCCCAAATTCCGAGTGCATGCTGCTGCGCCAATGTGGACGCTCCACTTCAGGAAAGCTGGGAGCTTCGGAAACTTTTGAAAAACGTACAAGAAAGTTCACACCTTACGGGACATCCTCAGAAGCTGCATTATGAGCACTGTGCTGATTTAATGGTGCTGCGTTTGACTCGACACGAACTCCAAAAACGAACAGCAGTTTCTGTCATAATAAAATGGACGTTGGAATGGGTTGTGGGTACTTGTCTGCGTTATTGAAAACCAGAGAACATATGCATGCCTTCAACCAACCCCACCACCCCCCACCAACGAAACTAAAATTATCCCGGCAAGAGACCCCAAACAGTGTGTGTGAGGTGTTTGAGCAGAAAATCGAGGTGACGGTGGTGATGAAGGTGGGGATCTGGTGACGGTGGCGGGTGGTGAGTGCAAGAGTGAGTGTGAGTGCGAGCGATGAGTGAGTGAGAGTGAGTGAGAGTGAGTGAGAGTGAGTGAGAGTGAG